AACAACAGCCGTCGAGTCTGTCTTATCCAGCTGCCGCGGGCCTCTTCGTCATGGCGTGGTCGTAACTTTTGTTCCGCTGGCGCTGTCGTCGAACTGCTTCCTCGTCGATCAAGTCTCGTCTCCCGTCGTTCCACCACCTCCAGTGAAAGTTCCTATTCGGCGTGGGCCACAAATAGTTCACGCTCAAGGCCCATATTTGTTGCCCGAGCCCGACTTCGTACCGGCGGCGCAATCCTTCCTCGCCTACAGGAGTGCCGACGTCCACTCCGGCCTCCGGCCTCATATCATCGCCATCCTCTGTGCTTCATCGCCGGTTGGTTTCCTCAAGTTGGAGGAAGCAGACGGAAAGTAAAAATGGAAGGAGGAGCCGAGGAGGTGACGAGATGAAAGAAAAAAAAAAAAAAAAAAAGGAGGGATGGCGGCGGCATGGAAGTTGCTAACCCGTTTTAGGGTTTCCCACTTTTGATTGGGCCAGCATAAAGCTTAGCCCACATTGGCCCTTATGGGCTCCCACGTCTGATTTGGTAAGAGTTCTTATGGGCTCTTCAATTAGATTTTGGGTGATTGTTTTTGTTTGCAGGCTTTTTGCCAGCAAAGTTAGTCAAGTATCGATCGAGGCATTCACGATCCATTAAATGATCGTCCCCTGGCGTTCAAAAGGTAGTACGATCAAAGAAGTCATCGTCCCTTCATCGTCCAGTTGGCATTCACGATCTAAGAAATGGTCGTCCCCTCTTTCGGTTCAGTATTGGGCAACCATTCATCGCTTTTCAAGCTGGGCATTCACGTTGTTCATGCTCCAGCTTGAGGGGGAGAATAGGAGGTCAACATACGTCGGTCGACTAACTCAGTCATCAGGTCGACCGCGATGTACCAGGTGTGTTCAAGTTCAAGAGACGCAGTCAATCGTCTCCATCATCAGGTTGTTCAGAGAGAGTCAGTCGTCTCCAATCAACCTCGTCCGAGATGTTATTCATCTCGAGTTTTGTGGTTCAAGCTATCATGCTTGTTCTTCACATTTACTTCTTCAAGCTCGACATTCTTGTCATTCATGTCTTCGCTTGAGGGGGAGTGTTGCGGTTACTTAAACCGTGTTAATATTGGGCCTTGTTGGGCCTTGTCTGATTTGTTGGGTTAGGGTTTTAACCCTAAGTTTCTCTATAAAAGCTTAGCTACGAACCTGTCGTAAGCAAGCCGTCACAATGTAAACCTAATAAGAAATCAGCCGTGAGCTCTTATGAGCTCACCGTGGATTAATCTCGATCAATCAATCGATCGAGAATACCACGTAAAAATCCTTTGTTCTTTGTTCTTTCCATCTTCCGCATCATCAATTTCTACATTTCGTCTCGGAATTCAGCGCTTCCCGGAAGCTCTGTACGGAGCTGAAGATGGTGTTGAAGTCGTTTCCCGGGAGGTCATTGAGGAACACCTGGAATTCAGGGTACCCGTGGGCCTGCTCGTCGCATATTCGGCCCACGGTCTGGATGACATCTGACACGGCGAAGAGAGCGTTGGGCCCAGACGAGCAGCCCAAATCTGCTATGGCTAGCTTTGCGGGGAAGGTCGAGGAGGAGGTGGTGTAGAGTTTCCTTATCGCTTCCTCCGTTATCGGCCTCGTCATCCGCATTACCGTTTGCTTTTGAGTTAACATGAAGAAGAAGTAGCGAACTGTGAGTATCGTAGTATTATTGCAAAACTTGTGAGATCAAATTGGGAATATGTAGTAATTAGAAGTAGTTAATGGTAAATTGGTAATTAATTACCGGAAGCAAGGAGTTGGTAGCGTAGCTGGTTGGTCCCGTCCCAGCATTCATGTGAAGCACCTCAGTAACGTCCGTCAATGGCGGCGTCTCCTTGTCCATAATACCGGCTGAACGTGTTGATTTGGTTGCCGATTGTTTTCTTCTACAGAGTGTGGCAACTTTTGGGGCTCTTTTGTAATAAGTTATAACCAATCGCAATCCCAATCTCAATCTCAATATCTGGCCTTAGAATCTCAATCTCAATATCTGGCCTTAGGATCAATGGCATCCGCCAATATTTTACTATCGTGGAAGCTGTGAAGTCGTCACTAAGAGATGTGGACAAATTCGTAGCTGGTCCCTTCAGACCTTCTACTGGACAGCAGCAGTAGAGGCTTTTTTAATTAATTAGCTTTCCATTATTGGTTATTGCAACTACTGCATGCACATTTGGGGCTACAGGTAGAAACAGCACAGCCTTACAAATTGTTGTCTTTCTAGTTTCTAATAAATTATCACAAACTTTACATATATAATTTGGTTGAGAGTGCTATGCTATTTTTTTTATATAATGGTGAGAAATACATTAATATAAGGAAATGAGAGAGTCAAATAGTACAGTGCACAGCAAAAAAGCAAATGACATCATAAGAGAACCAAAGGAAAAATAGAAAGGACAGATATATATAATGAGATAAAAGTACTCCGGATATTCTTAAATATTCTATGCAGACCATGAATAAAATAGAGTTAGGACTTAGGAGTATGATAATATATACTAACATGTAATGGATAACTTTCTTATGTCTTAATATTCTAAACTCAAACCGTAACGTCAATTTAATAAAAAATGATAAATCGACGATTCTGATTTAGGGAAGAAATGAATTTGTTTGCGGGTCAGATCCCGTGCTTAAGTCTAGAAACTTAAGCAAATGCTTAAAGCATTCCTATTGGTTGATAAGAGTTTAGTTAGTTTATGGAAAGTTAGTAGTTAGTAGGTTGTTAAGGGTAAATATGGTATTATAAAAAAATAATTAATGTCATTAATAATTGAAATAATTGCTCCCTCTCTCCTTAACTCGACATTAAATGAAAATTTGGAAATATTTAATTAAATATGATTATCTAATATTTAATGAAATTTTAAAATCAAAATCAAAATTTAATATTTTAAAAATGGAAATTAATAAGAATGGTTCCCTCTGTAACAACTTGCAATGACGTTATTAACATTTTAAATAACATTATCAATGTTTAATGGTTAATAATATATTTCATCGTTATTAATTATTTCAAAAAACAAATCAATGCTTTAAATTTATAGTACTAACGATTTTAGATCCTTTGTTAACAATTTACATTTTCGTCATCAACACTTATGAATGAATTACTAAAGTTATTCAACATCATCATTAATGATTTGAATAATACTATCATTGATCTACGTCCATTAACGATTCACATTTTCACGTCATGTTCATAACTACCCAATTATTGTCTTTTTCTAGTGACTTCCAATTACATTATTAATATTCATGAAATGAATTATTATTGATATACCCATCATTATTAACAATTTCAATATAATTATAAATGCTTTAGTACATCGAAACATTGATAATGACAGGCTTAATCATTAATAACTAAGTTGTGTTGGCATTGCAAATACAAGCAAAATCATTGATAACGATTGCATCTAAATGAGTAATAGACATATTACATGTTATTAACAACTCTCTTCTCAAAATGTTGATAACGATATAAAAAGTATTAATAGATAAGCATTGATAATGATTGAATCTAATGATAGTCAATTGTACTATATATTATTAATAATTGTTTATTAAGCATTGATATGCTCATACCTACCCATTAATAATGATACAAAATATGATACTGATTGTTAGGAAAACTTTAACAACCATAACATAAGTCATTAACTATACCTATATAAAAAAACGTTAACAACGTTGTTGTAAATCGTTCAAAAGTAAATAAAAAAACGTTAACAACGTTGTTGTAAATCGTTCAAAAGTAAATAAAAAAGCGTTAACAATGCTTGACTCCTAGTCAAATTGTTATCAATGTAAACGCGTTAACAATCAACTACGAAAGGTTAATAATCACTACAACAATGCAATAACACAACAAAAAATCTTTAATGATGATACAAATTTTCAATGATAGAATTCAAATGAACAAATCGTTAATTAGCAAACTGGATTTCTTGAAAACCAACACACAATTATTAATAATTTTTTCAATAATCATTTTCAATCAAAACTTCAAAAGAAACGAACAAAGAGCTACTTTTTTACCCTATTAATCAAACACCCGACCCATATTTTTGCCTAATTCAGGATGGGGCAATTGCTCTAGCAAACCATGACACTAGCAGCGCCCGCAGTTGTTTCAGCGACCCATTTTCATAACTAATCACCGATGTTGCTTGGAATTGCACTTGGGAGCAGCAGAATCGGCAGATCCATTGGCTGCAGCGAAACTGGAGGAACGCGCGGGTGGCGTTGTCGTTGCTCATCGGGCGGAGATGGCAGGGAGCAAAACAAGTGTGGGGGGTCGCCGCCGGAGGAGATAACCATCACCAGCACAAAGGAAGAGGACGCACCGGCACAAAGGCGAAGGAGACGATTTACAAAGCAGGAGATGATGGACGGGGCTGGCGAGGAAGGTTGCTGGGAGGAGAAGGGTGAAGGTCGCCGAAAATACAAACCCTACTGGCGGCCTTTTGTGTTTAATTAGGATAAACGAAAAGTTCTATATTAATTAGGATATTAAGTTAAAAGTCAAATAATTAATTTATGTTATTTACCTCAATACCCTTAACCGTATATTAACTACTAACTCCTCACCAACAACCTAATCTTCTAATAGCCAATAGAATTAGTTTAAGCATATGCTTAAACTTTTGGGCTTAAGCACAGGAACACAGGCCATTTGCTTGGTGTTTAAGGGATCGGAGTTGGAATGGAATATGAGCAACAGATGATATGTTTCTTTGCAGCGGCGGTGAGGGGGTAAATTGAGGTTGTTATATTCAATTTTGACTAAATTATGTGTTTGGTCACTCAAATTATACCAATCTTTTCCGTTTGTCACCCGATTTTTTTTCTTCTTAGTTGCCACTAACTTTACGAACTGTTTCACTGTTAGTCACCCGCCGTTACACTACGTTAAAATTGGTCCTGCGCGTGGCTATCAAATTGCAGAATGGAGACGATAGAAGGTGGGATGACCGGATGAGTCTTCTTTAATCTTATTTTGGGCTGTGAACAAGATGGCTCTCCGTACTGGGCTGAGGCCTTCTTAATTGGCGCAGTATTATTAGAGCAAGGATGACAGGCCCAATAAGAAAACCGGTAGCAAATTTACTGGGTTGCTAACCGGTGGCCGAGTAACCGATTAGTCTGTGTCGGTACCGGTCGTCGTCAGTGGCCATTTGAGACCAATCAGTATACCGGTAACCGACCAATTACCATTCTAGCCGATTCTACGTAGGTTACTATAAGACTAATGGGCTAAATAAACATTTAAACATGGGCTTGTGGGCTCACCCTCTTCTTAGTGAGCGAGGCAATGACGTTGACGAATTCGGTCTTCTCATTGGCCATTCGCTCCGACACGATGGCCGCGTACCTCCTGAAAACTTCGTCGATGACTTCTTCCCCGCCGGCGCCAAAGTGGCTGACCAGCAGCGGCTCTGCCACCGCTCTAATGCAGTTTGCCACGTTGTATCCGGCGCCGTTTTCCATGTTGCATTCATCGGTGCCGCTGCAGACAGCCCAACTTACGTCGGAAACCTCCAGGCGATCGATGGCGAAGGATCCCTGTCTCTTTACTTCCGCTTCCACCTCCGTCGGCGACGGCATGTATTGTGGGATGTTGAAGCTGTCCAACTTCTCCTGATCTATAATTCCCTGGGGCGTATAGATAAAAGTAAGCAATTAATTTTCTCAGGTGAAAAGGTCAGAAGTTCTGTCAAGAAATAAACTAGGCCGTTCATGGTAAAAATATCCGCAATCCGAATCCGACCTAATTGGATAGAATAAAACCCAAAATCGATGAATTATGAGTCGATATGGACAATATCCGAATCTCAATATTACGGGTAATGGGTGAGTATGATTTTCTTATTATCCAATCCAACATCTAGGTTATGCACACGCATATATATTTTTGTCTATGAACGATCGTTATTTTTCTCAGCATATTTGTTATTTATTATACATATATATATAATAATAATTTCTTGCAATTGTGTTGCCTTTTACTAATTTTTTAGTCATATTGATTCATTATCGTAATTTTTCACTTGTATAAAGTCTGTGAATGTTAGCATGTTGGTTGGAGTGATAAGGAAAAACTATTACGTACTCACAGATATATAACCGTGTATGCTCGAAACCTGATCCGATATGGTCATGATTCTAATTTTCTAGCCCGATTTTGTATGGGTATGGATTTGTGATAAAAAAAAACTAAACTATTTTAAATAGGGTTATGTATATGTACTATCCGTCCACTACCCGCCGACCCGTTGCCATCTTTAAACTAGTCCAAGTAACTTGAGTTGTCGTAAGAGACTCAATAATTGATCTTATATCACATACTAATACGTAGCTGCAAATGAAAACCTACTTATATTATATGGGCTTGGAATCCATCAAACACCGTGTCCTTATCATCAATAGGGTCACTAAATTTTCAATAGAAAAGCTATGGTATTATTTCAAGAATCAACTACTCGCAACAACTCAAATTGTTAAAAAAAAAAGGTTCAATAATGAATTTTATACCAGTTAGTTACCTGGGAGGCCATTTGGTTGAGAGCAATAGACAAGAGCTCCCAGATATAGCCAGCCTCTTTACTGTCACGCTCTTCACTTCTCCTCCCAAGGAACGTCAAAACCATCCTACCTCCTGCCACCATTTCCACAGCTCGACACTTCAAGAACTTTCCAAAATCGCTCCGAAACTGCCTGTAATACGCCACCAAAACACCTCGAGGGCTGCTTCTCGCCATGTGAATGTTCCCCTTGTTCGCTTCCACTATTTCTTCAGGTATCCTCGACAACCATTGAAGGCTGTAGGACGAGTGGACGAAGTGAAGGCTGTTTGTGGGGAAAAGCCGGCCGTAGAACGAGCCAGGAACTCCATTGATGAACACGGAGTACTCTGAATTCAGCCTTTCATGGAAGCTCTGTACGGAGCTGAAGATGGTGTTGAAGTCGTTCCCCGGGAGGTCGTTCAAAAACACGTGGAATTCAGGGTACTTGTGGTGGGCCTGCTCGTCGCATAGTCGGCCCACGAACTTGATGAGATCCGACACGACGAAGAGCGCGTTGGGCCCGGACGAGCAGCCCAAATCGGCGACCGCTAGTTTCGCTGGGAAGCTCATCGACGTGTGGAGTTTCCTTATCGCCTCCTCCATGATCGGCCTCGTCATCCGTATCACCGTTTGCTTTTGAGTTAACATGAAGGAGAGGAAGAAGAAGAAGAGGTAGCAAAGTGTGAGTATTGCAAAGTTATGTGATCGTATTGGGAAATATATGTAGTGATTACCTGAAGCAAGGAGTTGGTGGCGTAGCTGGTTCCTCCCGTCCCTGAATTCATGTGAAGCACTTCAGCAACTTCCGTTAATGGCGTCTCCTTGTGATCCATTACTACCTGTGTTCAGCTGATTACTGGCTGTTGTATTTTTCATTCTAGAGAGTGTGGCATCTAATTATTTATAGAAGGGAGCAGAGGCGCTAGGGGGGCGCAAGTCGGTGGATATTGAACCTGATCGCGGATCAAATTGAATATAATATGATTCAGTTTCGATTCTGTACGTCAATTCTATTTAAGTAGAGGAGCGGAATCAAACTTTGTGATCAATTAGTTTAATTTTCACTCTCTTTTTTTTCTTCTTCTTGTTTACGTTACAATGACGAATCAGTTATGACAAGTATCAATCTCAATACCTAACTTTTAAGTACGTACACATAAGGATAAATGGCATCTGCCATTTCACTATAAGTGGGGGTTGTAAAGTCGGGGGGGAAAGAGACGTGGGAAACGAACGACGAGTGATGGGACGAATTAGGGTAACTGGTCCATCGATCTACTGGATAGATAGCAGCAGTAGAGGCTTAAGCTTTCCATTGTTGGGTATGGCAAGTACGTACGGTTAGAGAGTGGTATAAGATCCAGTATAACCTTCTCCCAACAACTCGAGTTATTGTGACCAACTGGTTTATGACATGGTACAGAGCTGGTTTGACCAAGTGGTCGTGTGTTCGAATCTCCACGACCTCCAATATTAACAGTTGTCTTCAAGCACATGATATGGCAGGCCTGTGCAAACTTCAAGCCCGTGAGTCGGTCCTCGTTTGAGGGGTTGTGTTAGAGAGTGATATAAGATCCAGTATAACCTTCTCCCAACAACTCGAGTTATTAAGACCAACTGGTTTATGACACGTTCGTACTGCATGCACATGGCTACACGTAGAAACAGCACAGCCTTACAAATTGTGTTTTCTCTTTCTAATTAATCACACTTCCGCAGACCTTACATGTGTACTTGATCATACTTTAAAATTAAGTAAGAGGGATCAAGCCGTAATCCCGTAGATGTGAATAACTCCACCACTACGTGGGGGGGAAACTTATAGCTGAATCCTATCCTAAACCTAACAAACGTAGCTGGAAAACTTACAGCACCCCCACAGGCTAAGCATGGAGGTTGAACGCACGGGCAGCATCGAAGTACGTACCGTGACTCTTAATTAATGGCGTGTTAAGAGGATTAACCGCAAATGTATGAGGTTAATTAGCACGATATGTTCTTTGGATATTATCACTACGTAGCCATTTAAAGTTTAGTGGGATCGCTTTTTTTTTTAATCACGGACGTCTGTAAAAAAGGCAGGCAAAAATACAAAGAACGGAATTATATAACTTACTTCTCGTGTTAATCATAATTTTTTTTTATAAAGGTGAAATAATAATATTATTAAAAGGGAAATTTACAGCAAACAAAAACAAACCCAGCTACAAGCTGGAGAAGGGATCCGCCAGAACAATCAAACATCCAAAACCCCCCACCCTTCCCAAAACAAGGCAGCATGAAGACAAAGGATACTGTGAAACACACCGCAGCAGGCAGCAAGAAAGATAAACAGATTGAGTCAATCACAACAATTGCCAAAAAGGGTAGCAAGAAAGAAAGCCAACCATAAAATACGCATTAGTTAATCATAGTTGAAAAGTGGCATTCTAATAACTAGCTAAAATACGCATTAGTTTCACAAGCAAATAAATTAACACATACAGTCCAACTATAAAATGGAATTTTTGACCAAATTTTTTTATATTAATATAACAAAATTGTATGTTTAAAAATTCATTTTGGCTAGTTATAGCCGAAAGATATTTTTTCTGTATATCTAGTAGACCAAAAAAAAAAAATTAAACGTACGGGTCAGAAATTTGATTTTTAATTTTCCTATCGATAGTGCCTTTATTTGCGTGTATATAATTTTGATGATAATTGAATTTAGTCGGAATGGATCCTAAGTTCTTAACACTCATATTTAACAAGTACTTGCACATATTTATCTTTCTTATTTTTCGAGGACTCCACTTCTCTCCACCTCCCTCCGCCACTGTATATTATTATGAAGTAATTGTTTGGTGACCATCAATAGCGACAAAGTCAGAAGATCGAAAAAGGGACGACCCTACAAAATTTGTAGCTTTGGAGATGAACAAATTGCCGGGCTAAGATCAGGTGACTAAGGGGGGTCCCCTTAGTCACATGGCTAAGTGAATCTCAGCCACTCAACTTCATTAAAATCCAAGGACTCTTATTAATCCAATCTAAGGAAGGGTAATGTAGTAATTGCATGTTTATTTTTTATTTTTAATTATAAAAGGAGTAAAAAAATAAATCACCGCCGTTTCCATCCCGATGCGCCGCCTCCTGTCTCCATCCCGACGCGCTGCCTCCCGTCTCCGGCCAGGGGAACTCCTGGGCAATTCCTGGGGAGGAAAATTCCCTCATACGCCATTATTCCATCTGCTTCCTTCCTCATGCGCCATTAGGAATTTCCAGAGAGAGAGCTGCTCCTCCCGCCGGCGGCTTTTTAATTTTGGCCCATGGCCACCACCACCACCATTTTTGGTGTGACAGAGAGAGAGAGAGTAGAGAGAGAGTAGTATGCTTTGTACTGTTTGTAATGTTTGTTTGCCATGTTTGTAATGTTTGTTATTTTGTAATGTTTGTAATGTTTATATTACTATTTTGTATACATTGTAATGTTTGTAATGTTTGTAATGTTTGTTTGTCTAGTTTGTATACTTTATGTTATGATTTATACACTTTCTATTCATTGATTTGTATTTGTAACTTTTGTTATTCAAGTTTGTCTACTTTTATTTTATGATTTGTATACTTTGTATTCATTTGTTTGTAATACAAGTTTACCAATCTGTATTGTAAGTAGTGATATTCTGTACGTGTAGTATGCTTTGTACTGTTTGTAATGTTTGTTTGTAATGTTTGTAATGTTTGTTTGCAATGTTTGTAATGTTTGTTATTTTGTAATGTTTGTAATGTTTGTTGGTTTCTTTTGTATTGTTTGTAATGTTTGTTATTTTTGTCCACATGTTTGTCATTTTTGTCAACCATGTTTGTAATGTTTTTTGCATCACAAATCAATACATATAAAGTATACAAATTATTAGTACTTACAATACAAAGCGAAACATACTAAGAATACAAGCAAAACATACTAAGAATACAAACTGTCAAAGAAAAACATACTAAGAGTACAAACTGTCAAAGAAAAACATACTAAGAGTACAAACTAATGTTACAAACTATACAACCCATACTGACATTTTGTACAAAAATACTAACAATACAAACTAATGTTACAAAACATACAAACTATACAAATCACTGTTCTTCCTTCAGACGACGTATACGAAGTCTCTCCACCGCCGCCGCCGCCGCTGCCGCCGACTCTCTCTACAGCCGTCGTTACCTCTCTCTCTCTCTCCGCCATCGCCTCTCTCTCTCTCCGCCATCGCCTCTCTCTCCTCCGCCACGATCTCTCTCTCTCTCCTCTGTTTCTCTGCGACAACGGCCATTGCTGCCTCTCTCTCTATCTTTCAATCGAGGTCGCCGCCTCTCTCCACCGTCGTCGGCGCCATCGAGATCTCCATCATCGCCGGCGTTGGCACCGCCTTTCTCTCCTCCAGCGTAGCCGCCGCGTTTCTCTTTCTCTCTCTCATCCTCCGCCCACGACTTTCTCTCTCTCTCTCTGGACATTGCAAAAAAGGGGAAAGGGAAGAGACGTAGCAGATGGAAAAAAGTATTCAATAATAATAAATAAAACAAAATCAAAAAATAGAAGTTAATAATTTATATAATGCCAAAACTACCCTTCTCATTTAATATTAATTAATTGGTTTATCTGGACCATTAGATCAATCCAAGGGCTGAGGGGGCCTTAGTCAAGTGACTAAGCACCCCCCTAGTCACCAGATCCGGACTCCAAATTGCCCTGAAACATGGACTTTTTGTCTCCAAATCCTAAATTGAAAGTCTAATTGAACTATGGGCTCAATAAATAAGGTTATCACATGAAATATAACCTTCTGGTCTTGGAGACCTTAATTGCGAAAAAATTGACGGCCCTCTTCTTCTTGATCTTATTAAGATCTTCAATGGTGGCTAACACTAATCTTGAAATTTATTTTTTTGATGAATACTAATCTTGAAATTTATTATAGCCTTCCGGCTGCGAAGTATGAGTCCAAAATTTGCAAATCATGGTTTCGTAGCTTAAGCCTTGAGGATAATAATTAACCGTAAAATGTGGCAAGTTTAACGACAATCAACCTAACTTCTATTACTAGCTAAACTGCTATATTTTATTGCATGGCTTGCTTTGAGAATGACAATAAATACGTGGTCCTATCTTGCAAGACATGAGATTTGAAATACAAAAAGAGCCTTCATAATGGGCCAGTGGAGTCATATTGGGCCATAGGACGAACAAAAAACAAAAGTTCTATTGGGCCGACGAACATTTAAACATGAGCTAGTGGGCTCACGGCCGTCTTAGTGAGCGAGACAGTGACGTTAACATATCTGGTCTTCTCGTTGGCCATCCGCTCCGACACGACGGCAGCGTACCTCCTGAAAATCTCGTCGATGACTTCCCCGCCGGCATTGAAGTGGCTGACCAGCAGCGGCTCCGCCACCGCCCTAATGAACTTCGCCACGTTGTACCCGACGACGCCGTTTCTCGCGTGTCCTACACCGGTGCCGCTGATCATCAGTTCGTCGCTGCAGGCATCCCAACTTACTTCGGAAACCTCCAGGCGGTCGATGGCGAAGGCTCCCTGTTTTTTCACTTCCGCCGCCACCTCTGCCGGCGACGGCGTGTATAATGGGATGTTGAAGCTATCCAGCTTCTCTTGATCTATCATTCCCTGGGTGCGCAGTGGTAAAAGTCGTTATTGAAAAATCTAACCCTCTAATTTTAAACCCTTCAAATCAAAAATAAATCGTGAATAACTTCTGTACATTTTCTTATCTATCAGTTTCAAATATCGATTGTACACCCAACAAAAAATGAGTACCCAATCGAAAACAAACCTATTCAAATTATAGATGTGACATTTTTCTTTGACACAACGTGTAACATGTGACTTCATTTCCTCTATGCCAAAAGCACAACATCCACTTTAGTGCCAACATCAATGGTGAAGGTACTTGTTGATAGGGCTGACTATTTGGTCCGGACTGTTTGGTTTTACTCGAAATCGGACGGTATAACCCGGACTGAGACCGGACTGGGACCGGATAGCAAACAATCTAATCTCATATTTGGGCTTAGATTTGAGGTTAAAAAAAACCCGGATAAGAGACCCCAACACTCAAATCCCCATAAGCTCAATCTAAAATCAAGATCAAATTGGGACCGGACCGGGTCAAGACCGGACTGTATCCAATCCAATCTTTGGTCCTTATATTCCCGAAAAGATCAGACTGAGACCGAATCAATTTGGTCCATTTTAACAGGACCGGACCATATAACCAACCTACTTATTGACACGCGATTCATGCATTTCTCGTACCAACAGACAATAGTATACTTGAAAATATAATTATAGAGAGGAGGTGTACCATTCTTTTCTCAAATCTGTTACCATTCCAATCTAAGTGTGAAACACGTGGACATATCCAATTCATTTCCGATTTCCTTCAAATTTCTTTTTTTTTAAAAGTCATTTTCCCTTCAAATCAGCTAATTTTTTGGAATGTGCAATTCAGTTCCGTACCTGAGAGGCCATTTCGTTGAGCGCCGTAGACATCAGTTCCCAGGTATAGCAATACTCTTCACTCAAACGCTCTCCACTTCTCTTCCCAATGAACGTCAGAACCATCCTCCCTCCGGCCACCAGCTCCACCGCTCGACACTTCAAGAACGATCGAAAATCGCTCCGAAACTGCCCGTAATACGCCTCCAGGACGCCTTCAGGGCTGCTCCTCGCCATGTAAATGTTGCCCTTGTTCTCCTCCACTATTTCTCGAGGGAGCCGGGACAGCCAATGGACGCTGTAGGACGAGTGGACGAAGTGAAGGCTGTCGGCGGGGAAAAGCCTGCCGAAAAACGAGCCAGGAACTCCATTGATGAACACGGAGTACTCGTAATTCAGCCGTTCCTGGAAGCTATGTAAGGAGCTGAAGATGGTGTTGAAGTCGTTCCCCGGGAGGTCGTTCAAAAACACCTGGAATTCAGGGTACTCGCGGTGGGCCTGCTCGTCGCATATTCGGCCCACGGTCTTGATGAGATCGGACACCACGAGGAGGGAGTTGGGCCCGGAGGAGCAGCCCAGATCCGCTATGGCTAGCTTTGCGGGGAAGGTCGAGGAGGTGGTGTAGAGTAATTTCCTAATCGCCTCCTCGGTGATCGGCTTGGTCATCCGGATCACCTTTTGCTTTAGAGTACAAGAATCAAAGTGTGAACATTGCGAAGTTAGGTGATCAGATTGGCGGGGGGGAAAAAAAGTAGTACTGATGGTATAAGGATCGAGAGAGTAATTTGGCAGTGGATTAGTAGATGGGATTTAGTGATTTACCTGAAGCAAGGAGTTCATAGCGTAGCTGGTTTCACCCATCCCGGCGTTCATGCGAAGCACCTTAGCAACCTCCATTAATGGCGTATCCTTTCCTTCGTGTCTCTACTGTATTTAATTTTCGATATCTCTTTGTTTTCTGTTTCTTGGCTTTTGGGTGTTTTTATGGAGTGTGGCAGAGGTCTGGGCTCTGTGTGTAATTTATACAAGGGGGTCGTCCTGCAGGAAGCTTCTAGCTATTGCGGTTAGTATGCGGATCAAGGTTGTTAAACTTGCATTGACCTGTCGGTTGGACCCGGATCGAATTGACGCTTGGACCGAACTACACCGAATCGAATATATATAACGTGGTCCGGGTCTTGATCCAAAGATTTTATATATAATAATACGGAACAACAGACCAAAGTGACATTTGGACCGGACCAAAAGGAATCGAATGCAATATTAGCCCCTTGGTCGTAAGATGTGTTTTACATTATTGGATATTACGGTTCTCAATTTGAACCGGACCGAACCGTTACACACTCCCAAGATAATACATTCATTGTTAAATTACTGTATGTTACCCGTCAAATTATACTGAAATTAATTTTTAGAATCTTAATTTTTATGATATATATATATATAGTTCAGGCTAGCGTACGTCAGTCGTACATTGTACGTCCGTCGAGTTTTACTATTTAGAGCACGAATTTACCGAAATTTTGGGCATGATATTATACCCTAACCTCTAATGGGTGAACCTCGGTCCTTAATTCTCTAACCCAAGCCACAAGATTCATTTAATCTAAAAAATAACAACCGACGGTTCTGATTCAACAAAATATATTGAAGTGCAAAAACCAAGTATGAACGCAGGCGTAATCTATATATATTACAACTTTGATAGGAAGCCATTAAAGCATCTAGCTACTGCAGCATCCAACTCATTTTTACACGCACATCACGCCAGTTCATCAGAACAATCACGTTGTTGAAAATAATGATTGAATCGACCTATAGCAAATCTTATACACGTGGTCGATCTCTTAATGGTTGAGGACTATTTGGGAAAGGAAATGAGTTTGATTAGTCATCATTAACTGACAGATCGGTACTTGATCTCGCCACTTGCATGCATACTAATTGAGGTAATTAATAAATGGTTAAGCCTCGTGAGAATACCAATAATAGTAACATTTGGGTAATCATTATACAATACCTGTTGCATGTTGAACCATTTCATTAATTAATTTATATCAAGAATCATGTGAAGCGACGTCGAGAAGAGAAGATGATCACATTGGTGAAGCACCTTAGGAAGCTCGCCATTAATGGCGTATCCTTTCCTTCCCAACTCTTTTCCTCGAAACTGTACTTGTTGTGATGACCGACGGACGATAATGATATCTATCTTTGTTTTGTGCGTGTTTTTATGGAGTGTGGCAGATCAGATTCTGGGCTCTCTCTCTCTCTCTATTTATACATGCTAGTAGAAAGCCATTAAAGCTTCTAACTACTCCAGCAGGAACAATCAACCAACAGCTCATTTACTACACACATCGCAATATCGTTTTCATTATCAGAACAATCATGCATCATGCCATATCTAGATAATGTATAGAAGATATTATTTCTTACATATGTATATGTTCCTTTCACCAAAAAAAAAAAAAAAAAAAACAAACAAACCAACCAGCAGCCCGACCACGGCTTCCATTTCCCTTGTAAGGAACTGTATCGAGGGTGTGCACAATCGGGTTGCGGAATTTATTGAAGGATCCACAAGGATCAGATGCACGAAGAACAGCAGCCACAGCAGTGGTTCATTGCAGTCCTGGTCAAGTAAGGATTGCTGGAAGTCAACCGAAGACAAGCAATGGACTGAAGTGTGAGGTTTTACAAGTTTGGAACTGATACGACATTTTTACATACGGTGTCGTTTTATTCTTTATTCATTTTAGTCTGATTGAGAACAGATTAGTTACTAATAACTGAATCCTGCCTTGCCACCTGTTGGGCTTTGGTTAATGGATTCAAGCAACGGTTGGTGCTGTTCATTAGCCGTTGTAATCACTTTTCCCTCCTCCATATAAATACAAAACACCCAAAAGAGAGGACTGTAGGTTTTCTACAGATCCTCCACCCCAATCATTCGTCTCCTTTCTTATGGTATCAGAGCAGCGTTCCGCCGTCCAGGACTCCTAGTCTTCCGCAGCAGCTGCATCCATAGCGACGAACGACAATGCAGAAGAGTCAGCTGCAGCTACAGCAACAGTCGACTCTACTGGGAACACCATTGGAGGATCTTCCACTATCTCACCAGAGTTCGTCTTTGGTAACCCTTTCTATCAAAACCCTAATGAGAATCTGTCTCAGTCCATAGTTTCAGAAGTGTTGGATGGTAGTAACTACCAGATGTGGGCTAGATCTATTCGTATTGCTCTTAAAACCAAGTACAAACTTGGGTTCATTGATGGTTCAATTGAGGTTCCAGATCTGAGAACCAACCCTAATGAATATAGGGCTTGGGATGCTTGTAACACAGTTGTTTTATGCTGGATTATGAAATCTTTACACAAGGATATTAAGAGAAGTGTGCAGAGCCATGAAGTGGCACAGCTTCTTTGGGAAGAACTTAAGGACAGGTTTGGTCAAGCAAATGCCATCAAACTGACCAACCTGGAGGATGAACTTCATGCCACAAAGCAGGGAAACATGACCATAACCCAGTACTATACTCTTGTCAAGGGATTATGGGAGGAATACACCAAGTTTAATCCTATTGTGCCCTGCACATGTGCTCCAGGACAGGTTACTCCATGTCCAGCAGTGGAGGCCTTTAAGACCAAACAAGAAACTGACTATCTAGTTAGGTTTCTTAGAGGAGTAGCACCTGCCTTTGATGTTGTTAAAACCCAATTACTGATGATGAAGCCTCTACCCACAGTGGTTGCTGCTTATGGTGATTTGCTTCAACATGAGCAGAAGTTGAAAGGGGATAAGGGCAAAAGTAATCAGTCAGTTGCACTTGCCTCTTTTGGGAACCAATCAGGTCAAGGAAATACTGCAGGGAGGCCACCACCAAGGTCGAATACTTCTGAAGTAGGAGACACTGGTCTTTTCTGCAGGTATTGCAAGAAGAACAATCACACAATTGCTGATTGCTGGAAGTTGAAAAGGAAGAACAAGGAACAGGGTTCAGGAAGTGGTCAAAGGTTTGCTGGAGCAGTTAATGATGGGGATGAAGGAAACTCTGAGTCTTTTTCTAATGGAGGATCTGCAAGTCAAAGTTCTGGTAATTCTGGTTCTGGAAGTAACATGAGCTTGCAGTTTACCAATGATGAGCTGAACAAGTTAAGGCTCTTGCTGCAAGGTGACGCGTGACAGCCTCACGCGTCGGGAACTAGAAATACGAAAACTAAAAGAAACTGAAAATACTGGGGTTTATTCTTCTTCGATAAATAAAACGTAAGGATTAAGTACATATTTATAGGACGCATCCCATAAACCCTCTCCCCCTCGAACATGGTAACCTAAACCGAGTCCAACTCCTAAACGATTTACTTCCTAAACAGAATAATAATAATCCAAAATAACCCTAAACAAAACGAATGAATATCCAAAATAGACACAATAATGATTATGCTAAGATAATAGACCAGCCAATTATGCGTGAATGCATCAATCCTCCCCCCTTCGAAGAACTTCGTCCCCGAAGTTCAAGCGACATCTCATCCCGGTTCAAAGGGGAAGTAGCATCCTCGCATCCTGCGGTAAATGACGACAAGAGTTGGACCATGATCTTCGCGCTTTCGGTACTTCCATTTACGTCTTGGTACCATACGTATCCAGTAACAAACCATAGCGCCCTCAACTCCTGCTCTGTCGAAAGGAAATCCGAGTCCACCGTTTTCATGCTCTTTCCAAATGCTTCTAACCTTGTGTAACCATCTCGAGACCCACTCACCTGGCAACCCTTCCCTAGCAACGGACAACAGTCCCTCAATAAAAGGATCTTGATAATCACCATCCTTTTCACTAAGCTGCCAATTTGGGCCAGGCACCCATAACCACCCCAAACTTCCTCCATCCATCATATCAATATTAGTTCTTACCTTCACAGGTACGTAACCAATATTGGAAGGGAAAATTTCATTGTAGGCTATATGAGTTACCGTAGAGCAAACGTGTGACAGTGGTGATGAGATTGTTGTATGGATGGGCGGCTGGCCGATCGATTCCACAAATGTAGTAGCCGGTGTGGCAAAAATATTCACCACGATACCCTCCTCATTAGCAGCTATCACTAGGAGCGACGGGTGGATCAGCAGTCGACATGGCTGACGGCAGTGGCGGCGACGTGTTCGACGGTGGCAGTGGCGTGGTAGCAGACGCTGTTGGTACGTTGCCGACGATGGAAACAGCAGCGGCGGGCGGATGGTTTCCTTCTATGGCAGCAGCGGTGACAGGAACAGCTTCTGGCAGTTGCGGCGTGGCCGGAACTCCGGCTGTTGCAGCGGCGATAGGGAAAGCTCGATAGGCTTTGACGAGGGCCTCCACCTTCTCGCAGTGCCTGTCGAAGGATTTTTGCAGCTCCTGAAGTGTTTGCAAGACGCAATCCAGCCAGGGTTCGTCGAGAGGTTGTTGTGTCGGCCAGCAGACTCCGAAGTGACCTCCATCAAAGGGGTCGGCAGCAGGGTACGAGGTCGTAACGTCCAGCGACGTTGGCTCTGGGAACTTTGGCGGCGGTTGATAGGATGGGGTCAGAAACGATTGGGTGGACTGCGGAGGGAATCGTGACTGGCAGTTGGATGAAGATCGACGGCGAACAATATTTTCAAACCGTTCTTCTTCCTCCAGAAGATCAAGAAGCTCTTGCTCTTCTAGCATGTCGCGTATAAACTGATATCTATCAGGCATAGCGACTTTCAGCAGTATTGGCGGTGTAGATGTTGCTCACGGGACCTCTTCCCAACGTTGGTGGTTGAACGTTGGCGATACCTGTCCTGGGAGCTGCAGCAGCGAGCTCGGTTCTCTCGAACCAGGCTCTGATACCAATTGACGTGTGACAGCCTCACGCGTCGGGAACTAGAAATATGAAAACTAAAAGAAACTGAAAATACTGGGGTTTATTCTTCTTCGATAAATAAAACGTAAGGATTAAGTACATATTTATAGGACGCATCCCATAAACCCTCTCCCCCTCGAACATGGTAACCTAAACCGAGTCCAACTCCTAAACGATTTACTTCCTAAACAGAATAATAATAATCCAAAATAACCCTAAACAAAACGAATGAATATCCAAAATAGACACAATAATGATTATGCTAAGATAATAGACCAGCCAATGATGCGTGAATGCATCACAAGGGGTGACCAACTCACCTTCCCCATCACCATCACCACCTCATTCACCAAGTATCAACCATGCTGCTTTTTCTGCTTCACAGCAGATGCCCCACTTCCCCAACTCAGCTGGTAAATACATTCTTTCCTCATATATTCACTGTCATTCAGCTTTCCTTTGTCAATCATGGATCTTAGACACAGGAGCTTCTGATCATATTGTTTGTTCTCAGTCATTGTTTGTTAGTTGTCAACCCGTTAGGGATGTATATGTCTATCTTCCAAACAAGTCTAGAGCTTTAGTTACACACACTGGATCAGTTAAACTACCAAATGGGATGCCTTTACACAATGTTCTTCTCATTCCCAGTTTTACCTTTAACCTTGTGTCAGTTAGCAAACTAACACATGATTTACCAATCTCACTAAATTTCCATTCTGACTTTTGTCTTGTCCAGGACCTTGTAACCAACAAGAGGATTGGCTTGGCAAGACAAAGTAGAGGTCTATATCTGTTAGCTACCAATCCAGAAAGTGAACCTACTCATTCTGTTGCTTCAGTTTACAACTTTTCCCCTCAAAAGATCGATCTCTGGCATTGGCGTTTAGGACATCCAAGTTCCAACAAGTTTTTGTTAGTTAAACAATGTAATCCCAGTGTTCAAAGTGAGAGAGTGAAATACTGTGATATTTGTCATTTTTTCAAACACAGGCGTTTGCCTTTTGCTTTGAGTGAAAACAGAGCTACTGATCTATTTAGTTTGATCCATGTTGACATATGGGGGCCTTTGGCTGTTGAATCATATGATGGTTTTTCCTATTTTCTTACTGTGGTTGATGATAACTCTAGAGCTGTTTGGACTTATCTCATGAAACACAAGTCTGAAACAAGATCACTACTTCAAGGTTTCTGCATTATGGTGCAGAAACAGTTTTCAAAATCTGTTAAGATTATCAGAAGTGATCAGGGCAGGGAATTTCACATGAATGATTTTTACCATGAGCATGGTATTGAACATCATATGTCCTGTGTGGCTACTCCTGAGCAAAATGGCAGGGTAGAGAGGAAGCACCAGCACATTCTAAATGTGGCTAGGGCATTGAGGTTCCAATCAGGAATCCCTTTACAGTTTTGGAGTGACTGCATTCTACATGCAGTTCACTTGATTAATAGATTACCTACACCTGTGCTGAACAACAAGAGCCCATATGAGATTTTATATCAAACACCACCTTACCTGGGACACTTAAAGGTCTTTGGCTGTTTAGCCTATGCCTCAACATTAAGCAGTGGCAGGACCAAGTTTCAAACTAGAGCCAGACAGTGTTTGTTTTTGGGATACCCTATGGGAATCAAAGGTTACAAGTTGTTTGATTTAAACACCCATGATGTCTTTGTATCTAGGGATGTAACCCTGTATGAAGACATTCTGCCCTTTAAGAATTCCAACTCTCCTGTAGAAGAAGATACAGACTCCACTTTTCCTGATCTTCCTACTGTTCAATTCCCTTCCACCATTGAGCCTTTTCCTCCTGACAGCCAGGCTCATGGGGCCATACACAACCTGCTGCTTCAGGAACACAGGAGGATTTTTCTGCTAGTCCTCTTCCTGGTCCTTCCAGTCCTACTCCACTTTCTACCCCTACTCCTATTGATCATCAGGAAGTTGACAGTGAATCAGATGACTATAGGGATGCTGAGCCTGACTCTCAGGATTCAGATGATGATGAACTACCACCAGGAGATGAATTGGAAGAAGATGATTTGCCTCCTAGAACCAGGAAACCTCCTGTATGGCACAAGGATTATGTTACTTCTCTAAATCAAATTAGCCAGTACTGTATGGCAAACTACATTTCCTACCACCAATTCACTCCACAGCAGAAGAGGTTTGCATTGAACTTAACAGTTTTGATGGATCCACAGAGTTATAAAGAAGCAGCCAAGGAGCATCATTGGATCAAAGCTATGGAAGAAGAGCTGAATGCCTTGCTTGAAAATAACACATGGGATCTTGTTACCTAACCTCCTGGAAAGAGAGCCATTGGCTGCAAATGGGTCTATAAGACCAAGCTAAAACCAGATGGAGCCATTGAGAGATACAAAGCAAGATTGGTAGCCAAAGGGTTCACTCAAATCTATGGAATAGATTTCCTAGATACCTTCTCACCTGTTGCCAAAATTAACACAGTCAAAACTCTTCTAGCTGTTGCAGCAGCTAAGGATTGGTATTTACACCAAATGGATGTCTCCAATGCATTTTTGCATGGAGGCTTAGATGAGGAAGTCTATATGACACCTCCACCTGGATTACAAGGCAGTGAAGGGAAAGTTTGCAGGTTAAGAAAATCACTGTATGGCTTGAAACAAGCAAGCAGACAGTGGTTTGCTAAGTTAACTTGTTCATTACTTAAAAATGGGTTTTCACAATCAGCATCTGACTACTCAATGTTTACTAAGAGAGTTCAAGGTAGACTGGTTGTGTTACTTGTATATGTTGATGATATCATCTTGGCAGGACAGAAGTTGGATGATTTGGAGCTGGTTAAGCTCTACTTAAAGAGGAATTTTAAGATTAAAGACCTTGGGGTTTTGAAGTACTTTTTGGGGCTTGAAATTGTCAGGAATGATCAAGGAATTGTGGTGAACCAGAGGAAGTATTGCAGTGAGCTTCTTGAAGACAGTGGCTATTCAGAAGCCAAGGAGACTCAAACACCTATTGATATGAAGGTGAGATTAAGTTCTCAAGAAGGCAAACCATTTGAAGATCCAAAATGTTACAGAAGGCTTATTGGGAGGCTGCACTATCTGACCATCACAAGACCAGACATATGCTTTACTGTACAGCAGTTAAGCCAATTTCAAGGTAATCCCCTGGATACACATATGTAGGCAGCTTTGAGAGTGCTGAGGTATCTGAAAAAGTCTCCAGGACAGGGGATCATGTTTAGGAAAGACACAGACTTTTCTGTTACAGGTTATAGTGACTCTGATTGGGCAGCTTGCCCAGATACAAGGAGATCCATTACAGGATTTTGCACTTATTTTGGAAACTCTCTACTGACATGGAAGAGTAAGAAACAAACAACAGTCTCAAGGTCTTCTTCTGAGGCTGAGTACAGGGCTTTAGCTCATTTGGTTTGTGAGCTTCAATGGATGAAAGGGTTGCTGGCAGAGCTTGATGTTAAAGTTGCAGTGCCAATCACAGTTTACTGTGATAACAGATCAGCTATCCACATAGCTGAGAACCCCGTTTTTCATGAAAGGACAAAGCATATCGAGATAGATATGCATGTCACTAGAGAAAGGATCAAGACTAGTTTGATCAGGTTATGCTATCTTCACACTTCAGATCAATTGGCAGATATTTTCACTAAGGGATTGAGCAAGTTCAGATTGCTTGAGTTACTTGGCAAGATGGGAGTAATTGATGTATACTCTCCATCTTGTGGGGGCCTATTGAAGGATCCACAAGGATCAGATGCACGAAGAACAGCAGGCACGGCAGTGGTTCATTGCAGTCCTGGTCAAGTAAGGATTGCTGGAAGTCAACCGAAGACAAGCAATGGACTGAAGTGTGAGGTTTTACAAGTTTGGAACTTATACGACATTTTTACATACGGTGTCATTTTATTCTTTATTCATTTTAGTCTGATTGAGAACAGATTAGTTACTAATAACTGAATCCTGCCTTGCCACCTGTCGGGCTTTGGTTAATGGATTCAAGCAACGGTTGGTGCTGTTCATTAGCCGTTGTAATCACTTTTCCCTCCTCCATATAAATACAAAACACCCAAAAGAGAGGACTGTAGGTTTTCTACAGATCCTCCACCCCAATCATTCGTCTCCTTTCTTAGAATTGGGAATTCGATTAGATAACGAGAATCTAGGGATTGAGTGATAGAAAAATTAAGGATTATAGATTGCGAATTCGGAAATTAGAGATTGATGAACAAAAACGAGCGATAGAAATTATAGATTGCGAATATGGAATCTTATCATCATGCGATCCATGACGATCATTAATTAGCTGTAGATATTGATTTTTATTTATTTTTGAAAGGTTGTTAAGGAAATGCCCCAATTTGTTATTATGGAAATGAATGGTTAGAGATCACATTATATAAGACATCCTTGAGAACCTTAGGAACCTGCTGGCGGGGGGAAAAATGGATATATGAGAAACCATTATAATATTGTACAAATAGAGGTATAAATATATGTGACACGATTGCTCTTCCTTCTCATCAAATCAAGAACTAGTTATTTAATTAGTCATCGACAAAGCCTGAGAATTAGCAGTTCATATATACATTGTTAATTTTAATTATTATTTTATTTTATTTTTTACTTCAAAGCAAATTCCATCATGGCCAAGTACTTCTTCAGCAGCAGCAGCAGCAACAACAACAGAGCTGCTCATCATTGCGCCATTGTTGCCGCGAAGTTGCTTCTCTTCTTCACTTTCCTGCTCCTTAGTATCTCCACAGCTGAAAGCAGCAGACAGCCAGCAGCAGCGAGTAATGACTTTTAAAAAAATTAAAAATTTAACAGTAGTACTTCTTTCAATTAACTTTCTGATAGTTCTTCTGTTCTTCCATTGCGATGCTGAATTGCTGATTATGAACCGATCCTCTTTTTTTTTTTTGCCCCCACGTGCAGAATGCGGCGGAGTGACGTGTCAGAAATTTTATGCGGCTCAGAGTGGGGATAACTGCGCAGGTGTTGCAGCCAAGAACCACATGTCGGAGGATCTGTTCAAGGCCTTGAATCCAGGCGTCAATTGTTACAACATTTTTGTCTACCAGTGGCTCTGCGTTAAAGGCATTCCAGTTTGATCGTGTTGAATCAGTGATGATGATCATTTGCTAATTAAGTAGCTATATATGTTTTCTCTGAATTACTGGAAATTTTTGGAATGGTTTGCTGTATTGGAAATGGTTCAGATTTTGTTCGTTATGAAATGAATTGGAGGGGTTACATTGACGATCCTATATTGAAAATTTTGCTAACCCTTATTATAAAAAAAAGGTATATACAATATATTAGCCACAACTATTATGAAGCGGGGAATTATAGCCACAACTATGAAAATTCAAATTATTAGCCATAACTATTGTTTTGGGTCAAGATATGGCTAACTGTCCGTTACTGTTATTGAATTTTTGACGAAGAAGGCCATATCATCGGCCACGGCAGCGGCCACGGCAGAATGCTTTTAATTTATAACTTTAAAACATAAAAGTTTAGTCAGTATTACTAACGAAATTGTTAACAGATAGTTAACGTTTGGCTAATAATTTGAATTTCCATAGTTGTGGCTATAATTCCCCGCTTCATAATAGTTGTGGCTAATATATTGTATTTACCCAAAAAAAATTTCTTTTTTTTTTTTACAAAAAATAATCATATATTGATACCAAAATATAGATAGTTATAAAAAAAATTGCTAACCCTTATAAAAAAATGAAAATTTTGCTGAGTACCTATATTGAAAAATTTAGGTAGAAACCAGCCGAAATAAGAAGCCGCGGAAACGAGTCAAATGACCAATGATTGAGTCCATTTCCTTTTTGAACTAGGAATTTCTATTGAAATAGGGAACCCCTTGTTGGACTAGAATATCTAATCGGACTCATGAGTCAACCTTAAAACCGTACTCACAAAGGGGAAGAATTTTTATCGGATTAGGATATCTAAACGAGACTCAAACTTTAAAGTCGAAATCATAGTTGAATTGAGATAGAGAAAATTCTACTCTTTCAGCAAGTGAGGTGACAATTCTTTCGGGATATCTTGAAATGTCAGAAATTTTACGGGGCTCAAAAAGGGGACAACTGTTATAATGTTGCGGGCAAGAATTACATGTCGGAACATTTGTTCAAAGCCCTGAATCCAGGCATCAATTGCTATGCTATCTTCGCCGGCCAATGGCTCTGCATCCAAGGCATTCCAGTTTAACGGTCGAACATTCGTATGAATCACTATTCTTTTTTAGTTAAAACTTATTTGAAATTTGCTTTATGTTAAAATTTTGTCGTTACGAGGAGTAATACAATTTTTTTTTTGGTGAAATGTACGTTTATTTTGGGAGCTTGTGATAAAAAATTATATATGATTGTAGTACTAATTTAATAGGTCTCGTCATTTTTTGTTTACCTTCTTTCTCCTCTTCCTACTTGTAATTTCTTTTACTTATATCGAGAAGAAGAGATTGGTTGGTCATATTGTACTAGGAATTGGGAGCCGCGGCATAAGCGCAAGGTTAGAGTACTACATATTCAATCACTTCGAACTAACTTCGACGAATTCATTGACGAGACTAACTTGTAATCCAATGATTAACTCATAATCTATCTATCCCAACATGATCCAAGTAACTATTAGTTACGCAACATGTTAAGGTTACGAAGTTCATGGTTACTAGCTTGAAACTTATTGGTCTCGCAATCACGTCATTCCTAAAAATCACTAACTTCGAAATCCTTCAAACCAACATGTTAAGGTTACAAATTCATAATTACTAGCTTGAAACTTGTTGGTCTCATAATCACCGTTATTCCTAAAAACCACTAACTTCGAAATCCTTCAAAACATCACTTCCAAATTTGTCCACTTGACGACCACTATGCTCCTCTTCGTGTTCATCTCCTTTCTCCAGTTCTTCCCTCGGCAAAGCCAAACTGAACGCATGGTAAACAAGACAAGCTAGAAACGGGCCCAACCAAAACACCCAATGGGCCTCCCACAACGGGCCCTTAAACAGCACAGCCGCAGCCCAACACCTCGCTGGATGCAAGCCCACTCCAGAATACCCGGACCGGCCCGTTACGGTAATGGAAACATAAACCACCAGCCCATAAGCCACCGCCACCGCCGCGCACATCGTCGGCAGCCCCAGCTCCCTCCGCCGTCCAAAAATCGGCATCGACACGTACAGCAGCACAAAAGTGCACGTGAATTCCAGCGCCAGAGCCGTCCCGGCGCCGACCCCGGATCCGGGTCCGCCGCCGTTGACGGCGCAGCCGCCCAGCTGGTACTTATCGGCGGTTCCGCTGTCCATCGTGGCCTTGACGACGGCGAAGGCGATCAACGCGCCGAGGAACTGGGCGGCGAAGTAGGACGCGGCGCGGACGACGGAGACGACACCTTTGAGGGCGGCGGCGAAGGTGAAGACCGGGTTCATGTGGCCGCCGGTAAGAGGGACCGTGGCGAGGAGGAGGGGGTAGCCGGCGATGAAGATGGCAACCGGAACGAGGAGTTTCGGGTCGGTTTGGCCCGATTCGAAGCAGGAGATTAAGGTGGTCGTCAGGGTGAATTCGAGACACGCCGTTGCTACCATCTCCGTCACTGCCGCTCTCCACATCTGAAAATTTGTTAGAACAATATGTTCGATGATTTGATGAAATGTAGTCAAAATTGTGCTTAATGACTTAAAAGGTTATGCTTTTATAACATTTTTAATGCATAATCACACTTTTCACTTATATTTGCAGTCAAAATCTACTTTGAAGTTTAAAATCTTACATTTTTACGCTTCTACATCAGCAAAACAGTTTTATCCGTCACTACTGCTCTCCACATCTGAAAATTTGATAGAACAACGTGGTTCATGATTTGATGCAATGTAGTGAAAATCGCGTTTTAAAACTTAAAAGCTTAAACTTTTACACTTTTAAGTCACCCAAATGCTTCTACATAGAATCAAGCTTTTCATTTACATTTTTTTTTTGTCAAAAAGTATACGTTAAAATTTAAAAGTTTACACGCTTTTAGGTCATCAAAACACTTCTAAATAAAATCGTGAATCTGACTGGATTGATTTGATGATTAACTATTGGATGATGTTATGGAAACTGAAAGAGCTAATTACTCACCGGAGTGGAGTAGAGTTCATCGGCACCAATGCGGCTGAGGAAGTCATGCTGGGGAGATTTGCTGTTGCGGCTGGCTGCAGCCGCCTTCACTGAATTGATCTTGTTACTGTTATGATTCTTCATATCTCCGTCTGTGATTGCTTTGAACTGCGATCTTCTTCCGTGGAAATTTAACTGACGAAACCGCATTTTTATGTGTGTGTGGGTGTGTCAATATCTACATATATATTATTCTAATGCAAAGACTTTGTTGTTGATTAATATAATTGACGAGAAGTCCAAAGTAGAGGTTGTCTCTTGTCAAGCTATGCATCTCTCCAAAACGGGCTGTCCAAAAGAGAAGAGATGGTAAACGTACATGAAGACAGAGGAGCGATGCTCGATTTCGGTGGCACAGCCGTCGCTGACTCGCTGTCTTTCCCGGGAATTGTCAACGGAGGTTCCGACGGCAACAAACATAAAAGACAAAGGGGGAAACATGTGTCGGAGGACTGGTTTAAAGCCTTGAATCCAAGCATGCATCAGTTGTTACAACGTAGTTTGGCCATCAATGAGTCTGCTTCGAAAGGCATTCCGGTTTTGATCATTTGCTGTATAGCTATATGTTTCAAGAGAGTGATGGTAATGGACAGCGGCGGATCTGAGAAAAGTGAAGAGCATATTTGGGCCATATTTGAAAAGAGGCGGAGATCACTGAGTCGTAACCCGACGAGCATTGAAATGAATACGTAAAATCAAAACTTTAGAAGAGCTATACTAGCTCTGGATCCAGGGGAGGGCTGGGACGTGGCCCCCCCTCTGGATCCGTCGCTGATAATTGGATCGTTATCTCAATATCTATCGTACTAATCGGGTGGTAGATCGAGTAATGTTCGTGCGGGTATAAGATGGAGCATGTTGACTAATTCATGTTATTTTTAAAAAAAACGTAGTTCTAATTTTTTTACAAGAATACATAGAGAAAATACGTCATAAATAAATGAGAAATGAAGCAGAATGATTAACTTAATTGAAAATAGAGTTTTCAAGTTTTTTTTAAATGAAAGTATGATTATAGAAAGGGTAAAAGATGAGAAATACATGTAGATATTGATGCAAATTAAATTACGATAGAATGTGTCAAGTTTTGGGTGGGGCAGATCGGACGCAATACTTATATTCCGCCCCATACTACAGTGTTACATAAGTTTATTTTTTGTCTTTTAAAACTAATTAAGAATTTTGAATTTGAGATTTCCAGATTAAAGACTAATGTTCATATTACGATTAGATCAAACCCTTGTTTGTGCACACTTTCTTAAAAATCACTAATTCTGAATTCCTTCGAACCATCGCCTCGAAATTTGTCCACGTGACGACTATGGTCCTGATCTTCACTTCCATCTCCCTTCTCCAATTCCTCCTTCGGCATAGCCAAACTGAACACGTGATAAACAAAACAGGCCAAAAACGGGCCGACCCAAAAGACCCAATGGGCCTCCCACAACGAGCCCCTAAACAGCACAGCCGCAGCCCAACACCTGGCCGGGTGCAAGCCCACTCCAGCGTACCCGGGCCGGCCCGTCACAGTAATGGAGACATAAACCACCATTCCGTAAGCCACCGCCGCCACCGCGCACACCGTCGGCAGGCCCAGCTCCCTCCGCCGCCGCTCTTCCAAAATCGGCATCGCCACGAACAGCAAAATGAAAGTGCACGAGAATTCCAGCGCCAGGGCCGTCCCGGCGCCGACCCCGGATCCTCCGCCGTTGACGGCGCAGCCGCCCAATTGGTACTTCTCCGCGGTGGCGCCGTCCATCGTGGCCTTGACGACGGCGAAGGCTATCAGCGATCCGAGGCACTGGGCGACGAAGTAGGCAACGGCGCGGGCGATGGAGACACCGCCTTTGAGGGCGACGGCGAGGGTGAAGACAGGGTTCATGTGGCCGCCGGTGAGAGGGATCGTGGCGAGGAGCAGAGGGAAGCCGGAGATAAAGATGGAGACCGGGACGAGGAGTTTCGGGTCGGTTTGACCCGATTCGAAGCAGGAGATGAGTGTGGTTGTGAGGGCGAATACGAGGCACGCCGTTGCTACCATCTCCGTCACCGCCGCTCTCCACATCTGAAATTTGCAAACAATTTAGGGGTCGTTTGGAAAGTTGCGTATGTTAAATCTTTGTATTATTATGAATCACTATGATATAAATGCATGCATTGTTACAATAGATGCATTTTGAAATTACATTGTTTGGTTGTTGAAATTATAATTTATGAATTGATTGTTATAAAGTTACTTTATAAGAAAATGTCATATTTGTCCTCCATTTTTAATATAAACAAAAAGAACTTTGGACATCATTGGAAAAAGTAAAGGTGCTCAATTATTAAACCAACAATCTCAACATTTAGTTGAGATTGTACAATCCCTCATTTTTGTTGATTGTTGGTGGGACCCACACAAAACAATACATGCATTGTTTTGCAACTTGACACTTCCAAACGTTGTATTGTGGACAATGCATGTATTTAACAAATACAACACTAACAATCGCAACTTTCAAACAACCCCTAGTGAAAACTCAAAAGCTCTGTTGTGAATTCTTGCTGTAAGTAGAACAAATGGTATCCAATTTGGTCAAAGGCTAAAATTGAGTGGCCGTTCTAGTAATTTTATATAGAAGTGTTCTCCCTTAAAAATTAAATTAAATAGTTAAATAATTAGATAAGTATTAAATACAAAAACTTTCGACTAGTATAAATTACAACAATTATTGGGGAAAAAATGACCACCCAACTATTAGGGGGGAAAAGTACAAGTTACAACAAAATCCCATGACGTTATTCATAATTTGAAAATTTTGTAAAATATATTCGGTGTCGACACTCGACACTGCTTAACAAATTTCTCTCCATATATCCTACCAGACAAAGGCAGCTCGTAATTGAGTTTAATTGTTAGGTTTTTAAAATAACTGGGAATAAAGAATAGTGTTTTACTATTATATTTGGAATTAAAATATAAAAATAAATAAGTTTTAGTCTAATGGAGAATATGTTTACTAATAGTAGTAGTATCTCAAGTTCAAATAAAAAAGACTATCACTTAAATCATTTTTGTACCTATATGTAAACTAATATTGGGTTGGATAATATTTTTCTTCAAATTTTAAGGGTATCCCACCATCACTTAAATACTTTTTTTTTATCCATATGCAAACTACTATCGGGAGTTGAATAATCGATATTCCAAATTTTAGGGGAGTCCCGGGGTCCATGCCGCCACTGGTAAAATTCAGTATTTATGTGTTTTGAGTCTATGCAAGTTTTATTGGCTTTTGAAATTGGTAGTTGATTGAGTTTACGTTTTGCCAGAACCAACTTATTTTTCATTCGACTCACACTCTTAAAGCCAAATAATTGTTTTGTATCTAATCAGAATAATATTGATAATGTATGGATATTATGAACTTAAGAATATGAATAATTTTTTATAGTTAGTAGCCGTTGTGGAAATATATTTACAGGAAAACTTTGATAATATTTAATAATATTATGATGCGAGAAAAATTAATGTATGATTTATGTTCATAAACTCATAGACATCCATCCACCTGTGCTCTGTGAACACCTGTTGAATTGAGTTTTCACTTCTAAACTCAATCGGTAGTTACCAAATTTTTTTATAGGGGCACCCATTGAAATGAGTTTAGATTTGAAAAAAAAATCTCAACGAGTTGTAAGCTTAATCCATGGAACCATGGTTGTCACGCCGGCCGGCGTGTCACCGGTTGTACCGGGTTCAACCGGTACCGGTCATAAAACCGGCATGACACCACCGGTATGACCGGCATGATCGATATACGAATCTCTAAGTAAAATGACCTTATTTTAGAGAATTTAATTGATAAAAATTATTTTATTATTTATTTTATGAGTATAAAAGTTAAATATTGATGTTATTTGTTGGATTCAAATATAAATGTTTAGGTATTGACGTTAAATGTCATGTTTAAATATGAGTATTTATAATTTTATTTGTAATATTGACCGGCATGAACCGGCACAAACCGATATGTGCCACCGGTTGAACCATTCCACTTGCTAAACCGGCACACTGGCATAAACCGGTTTGACAACCTTGCATGGAACCCAAATCAAACAACCATTAGAAGACCACCTATTTTTCTTTTTCCACGATTAAAAGTGGATTGTAAGGACGTCATTTTAGCTTAAATGAAATTCCATATGAGTTGGAAAGTAGAAGAAAAAACAACCATTGGGACGTCTAGACCAAAACTTTTTATGAGTCCGGAAAGGGCGATCTTTTTGGCGAAGGGTGTCCAGTTCCAGTCGCAGGATGATCCCATGATTGTGGAATTGCTCGTGCTCAGGGAGGCAATTGTTTGGTGTCTTGATCTCGGCCTCTCCGATGTTAGGTTTGAGGGGATGCTAAAGTGCTCATTGATAAAATCAACAAGGTGGATACTAGCGACAATCGGGTGGGGGCGGTGCTGGAGGAGATAGTTTACTATGTTCAAGCCCATCCTGGTTTGTCAGTTCGATTTGTAGGACGGCGTAACAATAGGGTAGCCCATCTGGTGGCTAGGAAGACCCTTTCTTTGTACCCGGCTATGAGTCGACATTTTGATTTTCGTAACTGGCTTGCGGCCAGATTGTAACTATCGATTTTCTTATCAATATATGATTATCTTCTGTAAAAAAAAATTACGAAATGGGAAGCTCGATCTCAAGTCTTACCGGAGTGGAAAAGAGCTCCTGGCTACCAATGCGGCGTAGGAAGTCACGCTGCCGGGGAGATATGTTCCGGCGGCTGGCGGCACCCTGCTTGGTCACGGAAGGACGATGATTCATGTCGCCGTTCAGGATTCCTGGACCGCCGCCGGTAACTTCTGCCATCGCTTTAGACTGTGTAATCTTCCAGGGAAGTGTTTAACTGTACTTGTATATCTGTGCAAGTCTGTTAATAATCTGTATATATATACTATATTATGAATGAACCTAAACACTTGGTCTGGTCGGATTGAGGAAATCTTCAATGGTATCGTTGTCGTGCCAACCAGATGGATGTTCAATATCAAGAGGCTGAATTGGGCAACCAGGTATAACGGCAACGGGGCACAGCCTTGTTTGTTGCCCCTTCATTCTCAACGGAGGTTCCAAGACAAACCTAAACACAACAAAGGTGGATACCGACCGGCCGGCCGGCCGGGGAGCTCAGAGAGGCTGGCTGGTTAGAGAATTGACAGAGTGTTGTTAAGGGTATATTACTGGCGGCTGTGCTGGGATATGCATATAATGGTATCTGCCCTACTTGTCTGCTTCCGACGAGATGGAATGTGAATGTCATCTCCGATATGTTATCCAGTTACCCTCCCAAAGGCAAGTTCTCGTCCGACTTGTAAGTGTTAAGCATGTCACCATCATTCATCTCGGCATCAAATTCTTCATGAGATTTTTAGTTGTATTGCTTTCAGCTTCCTCATTCGTAGACAAAGCGGACTCAGAATCGTTCATTTCAATGCGTTACTTGTATTTGATAAGTAACACAGGAGAAGTTCGGACGATTATTAAATTATAATTAGAATTTTCCGTTTTAAAGATATGGTTCGAGTGCGAATAAGTAACACAGGAGAAGTTCGGACAATTATTAAATTATAATTAGAATTTTCCGTTTTAAAGATATGATTCGAGTGTGTGGAAACTCTCGCACCTATGAACTTGAACGTTCAAACTAGTTTCGTATGTGACTTGTGTGCATAATTAGCAAAATTTTGTTTAATATCTGTATAATAAACATATTTTAAACAATTCTATTGATAACTTAATAATTTTACATACCTAAATTGAATAGTAAATTATTAATATTTTAAGAATGACGAATAAAATTATGCACGTATTAATATCATATTATGCCCATACAATATTTGTTTCACCAAGTATGCTTGTGAGACATAGTCTCATACAGACATCAGCTAGATTTAAGATTTAGAGAGGCTCATCCAAGTGTGTCATGTGAAAAGAGATTAATATTGCAAACAAAATTTTAATACATTCATTACCAAATCAAACTACTCGTTGTCATATTCTTGAAAGTCTTGACAGTAGAAGCCATCCATCGATGTTCTAAACAAGTCCACAGCCACCTCACTCTCCCTTCAAACAAAAACAATTACAGCTTGCCTCATGTTCCAGCATTTCGGCGGCCTACTCGGGCAACGAAACCAGCCTTGATTGGAGCAACAGACCTTCCAGATCCACACTGCCACAACCAAAATCAGACCCTCAGCAAAAGGTTTGACAAAATTACAGAGCAAGAGAAACAAAACTGATCTCCCAGTGCACCCAATCAATCAACTCTTGTGCAACAGCAGACAACAGGCAGAGGCCTCAGAATTACCCAATTTGATATATACATCATATGCAAGTCAAGCAACACAATGTGCGCTAAGTTGTATCATCATTGGCCTCTCCATTTACTACTGCCACAAACTTAAACGAGCAAAAAGTCTCCGCCAACTTAAGGGTAGGCAACCGTATGCTAGTTAACTGCACCGAACACCAAACTGCAGTTTGGTGCGGTTTACCCCACCAATACAAGCCATAGAGGCATGTACACCCCTCATCTTTACTAGACCGACAAAAATATGCAGTTCATAATCTATGTAAAACAGAAGCAATCAGCACAAATAGCATGCTTCAAATGTGGCAAGGACAAGCCATGCCCAAAAGAACCAGCTCAGTTAACACGACGAACACTGGTATTATGGGCCAGAGTATCAACAGAGTTTATACAAAGCATAATCATCAGCCCCACCAAAGCAACATAAAAAAAAACTTTGAGAGAGCAGGACTATAAGACAGACCATTTCATGTATTACGCATAGTTCTCTATTTTAAGATACAACCCAAAATGGCAGCGTTATACACAGAATTTCAGAACATCTGCAGGTTGTGTGTAATCTAACCAGAAGTAGAGCTCACAAACAAGACAAGCTTCAGCATCATGGAATTGCTCACAAATGAGAGCACCCCCAGCCTCAATATATTTTCAAATACTAGTTAATCGGATACTCTAAAATCAATACATCATACTATTTGACGCACAGATGCAAGATCCAAAAGAACAAATAGATAAAAGGACTGGATAATGTCTTACCTTCTCACATCTTAGGAAGAAAAGACGATTTTCCTTGGAAAGTATGGTGTCTGGACTTTTGCAACCAAGGCAAATCACATACTCATCTGAACGCGAGTACATTATTAGTTTCCATCAATTAATTTCCCAGACACATAACATGGATAATATGACAATCGGGTAAACCAACAGAAACAAGAGATATGCTTACTGATATATCGCCGCAGGATCCCTTCAAAATTTTTGGGAGCAAATCTGCCCTTCACAACCAACCTTTGCTGGCCATCAAGAGACCCACTTGTACCCAACTCAGCAAGCAAGAAAGCCATAACATGATCCGGCTGTCGATGCATGCTACATATAACAAGGGAAACGGTATTCATAAATTGAAACAGGAGCAGCATTTAATACATAGGCAAGCCAGTCAAGAGATATATGAAGATCGAAATGAAAAGATTATCCCATTCCATATGATATAAAGACTAGACATTTAACAAAAGCCAAGAGCGAACAAGAAGTTGGGACTATTTGGTAGATCCTAGTTAACAAGCCGGGTTTCTATGAAACACAGCCAGTGACTGCGATTCTGCAAATAAGAGTGAAGCAAACTACACGATGAGAGGATTGTACATGTACTCACCTCTTGCAAAGATCCATGAAATTCGCAAACACAGTTTTCTTTGTCCCTTCACGAAGAACCTGAGGAGGCCTCATCACAGTCCTCCGCCTATCTCCTGAAAGCTCTGGGTTATTCTCACGGAGAATGTTGAAAACCCTGCCGAGAAGCTGCCATAAACGAACAAAGAGAAGATACATCAAATCTCCATCAAGCACACATTGGTTGAAAGGACAACAAATCCATGCCCCTTGTGGAGGAAAAAAAGACATATGAGCATAGGAATAGGGCTACATTAAGATTATAGTTGAAGGATATCAGATTAAATTTCAGTCATACCAGAGAGATGCTAACATTAATTCGCCTATCAGACAATATTAAACCAATTTCAATCTTTTAAACTATTTTACATACCTCTTCATACTGATAATCACGGTCACTTTTTTCCCAAGGATAACGCTCTTGGTGCAGGGAAGCTCCTTCCGCTTCATCATCTTCGTGGTCATGATCTATATGAGATGAAAAAGGATCAAAAAAATCGTACTAACATAGCAATACAGTCAACCACCATAAGGACAGCTAGGAAACAGCATCTCACCATCAAGGTCTTCTTCTCCCTCCCCAATTTCCTCACTCAAAGGCCTTGTTTCAACCTATTGTCGGATATAGGCATCATTGATCAGAACATACTAAAAAATATGTATTTAATTTGCTAACAAAGGTGAAACTTTCATGCTTGTGATAGCATAACACAACAATATAGCAAAAGGAACTTACAGGCTTCTTCTTTTTCTTTTTCAATCCGGAAAATGAACTTTCAACCCCATCTGCCACTGCAATAATTGAAAGAAGAAAAAAAACCACTTAAAAACATAAAACAAAATTTACAAAGGCGAAATACTCTCTGTAAGTAAATTATGGCGCAGAAATATATCAGAACAAAAGTACGAACAAGGGATTGGTCTAGTGGTAATACCACTAGCCATGAACCTGGAGGTCTCAGGTTCAAGTCCCTTAAGTAGTACCTAATAATAAAAAATTAAACTATATCACCCTTATCTAAAAAAAAAAAATATCAGAAGAAAAGTTCCAAACCTGACAATGATTCAGTTTTTTCAGCCAGCTTGTCCATAGAATCATCAGCAATATCTTGAATAACAACCTTCTTCTTCTTCTTTTTCTTGGTTGGATCAAAAGGGGCAAGCTGCAATACAGCAACAGTAAAATATTAGTACAGTCAACACATCTCAAACATGAGCAAGTCTATCTTATTCAGGACCTGTATTGCCTTAGCCTAACACATGCGCAATAAGAACATTAACAACCGTCACAGCTCAAGTTAGAACTTCAAGGACGACACAAGAACATGCAAGTTTTGGACCAATAGGAAAAAGAACCACTATTATTTCATCAGACAAAGACATTTTCAGACAAATACAGTAGACTAGACCAGTTAACAAAATCTCATTGTTCCAGTCACAAAATGCTTCTATAGAACGACCATCAGTCTCTAAATATGCTAACACAAGGATTATGAAGAGGAACTTACTTCTGGAACCTCCTCCTTCAGCTCATTATGTTCCTCGTCGGCCATTGTTACTGAAAATTGGTTCAAAGTAGGCATACGATTAGTAAATCTTTTATCCAGCCAATAGAGTAGTATCAAGCATCAGAAGTAAAAGGAAGCAAACACAAGAATCAACCTATACGGCAATAAAAACCTAGTGTTCAAAACTCAATTATCAATGAACGTCCGTTCACCTTCAACTTCCAAAACTCCAAAGACCCCAAGAAAACAAGCTTATTTCAAAGAGGCGGAATGATGAAAAGCGAACGAAAATTGAAATTTGTTGGCATGGAGTCACACCGATGTTTTCAAATTAAGGCCACTATCGCCATTGTCACAACTACGAAATGGGCTATTCACTGTAAAACAAAGAGGGGGCGTAATCGCGTATGCCATACGAGCAATCGCCGACCAAGAGAACAATCAGCCGATACATTATGATGCAGGAACCGAACAGAGATTCAGATGACGAAGAAGAGGCTAAAACCCTAATATGAGATTTTAGATTAGGCTAAACATTTGGCGAACAGATACCAGTAAGTTCAAAACATAGAAATTAGGGGATGAAAAACGTTCAATCGATGGAAAACGAACGATACGCGTACCTCTCTTTTCACCCTTCTTGCAGTTGTCGAGCACAGCGAAGAGGAGGATCGAATAGGGATATGGATTAGGGTTTTGCTGGTGTATCGACTGGTAGCTGAAGAACCTGGGTGCTGAACGCTTTAAAGCCTGAAAAATAAGAGGGTAAAATGCTATTTGGGTCACGGAAGTATGATTACTGATTAGGCTGTGTCCTGGTACTTATATACTATTTTTCAGACTTGCCACAGCAATTTGAGATTTCGGATTGTGTGGTTTCTAAACTCCATGGATTTTAATATAAAACAAAATCAATGTATTTCAGATAATCATAGTAATATTATAATAAATTTGGATTTGAACTTAATTCTATATAAATTATTTTACTTTTTGTTCACCACCCTTAAGATTTTGATTTTTTTTTACATATAGATCATTAGAGATTTAACTAATTGTTGACATCATTAAATGAATTTATAATTCTTGATTGTTTGTTTTCTCAATTTGTATACCATGATCATGTTTTTCTCCCTAAAAACTAGTTTTTCATTGATACTTTCTTATTTCGTATTACCATGTATTCTTTCTGTTGGGGGTGTACGAATGAGAAGGTCTCGACACGTGGGTGAGGCCCATTAAGAGACATGAAGCCCAAGTAGTCTGAGAAGTTGAGCACGCTCAAGACTTCGGAGTGGGCCGTGATTGGCGCCCATGGGTTTAGATCGGAACGGCAAGTGGACCTGAGCATCCGAAATGGTACTTGCGCGTTAGGCGCCTAGGGTGAGTTGTGCGCACCTAGGGAGGGCGCCCGGAATCGCCTTCGGAGCGGGCGCCCGGGATCACTTGCATTAAATGTAAGGGTGACGTGGGAATCCGTACGGGAAAGTCCAGGTAAGCAATGATCGGCTATAAATAGCGAAGTGGGTAAGCATTTACTCAATTTGGCTTCTCTCACTAAAATTGTGCATTGCAAGCACTTCTCTCACTAAGAAAGATACTGACTTGAGCGTTGGAGGACTAACGGGCCACAAGGCCCACCTCTGTGAGTGCAGGCTTAATCGTGAGGGAGTCAGCTGGTACGGAAGAGAAGTAGGTCGATCGAGTGGGCATCAACAATTGGCGCGCCAGGTAGGGGAGAACACAACCAGGGAGCGCCTAGTTTCAATGGAAGAGGGTGGAAGTGAGATGGAGGAGCAACACATGGGGGAGGCGTCTCAAGAAGGAGGAGGAGGAACGCCCAGCATGGGGGAGGATGAGGGAAGTGAAGACCCGCGCCCGGATTCAGATGGGGCCTCGGTGACTAAGAAGGAACTGTTCAAGATCATAGCCGATCAAGACGAGGCCATTGGGATGTTGAGGAGAGAGGTGGAAATGTTGAAGGAGGGCGCCCCAAGTCCCGGAGCAAGGAAGAGGGAGCGTACAATGGAAGCTGAAGGGGAGTCCAGCTCGTTGAGGCGCCTTGCCAGCATGAGGCGCCTGGCCGATTATGGAGATTCTGAGGGAGAGAGGAACGTGTGGATGCCGGGGCGCCCGCATCGACAGTTTGTGGTAAGGCAGCCTTTGGCCCGGAGCGTGCTCATGGAGCCCGCTAGTACCAACATTCCGCCGCTTCCCACCTATGATGGTACGGCGGACCCGGACGACCACCTCAACAGCTACTTCACCAAAATGCAGCTGTACAACAGTTCGGACGCAACTCTATGCAAGGTGTTCCCCTCAACATTCTCAGGCGTCGTATTAGATTGGTACCATCAGATCGAGGAAGGGCGCATAGAATGCTTAGAGCAATTTGCGGCGATGTTCCTGGCTAAGTTCGCAAGTAGATAGAGGCGCACACTGACCGTGGGCTCCCTATTCAAGATCAAGCAGAAGGAGGGAGAAACCTTGAGGGAGTTCTATGAGCGGTGGATCCCGGTGGCCATGGCGGTAAGAGACGTGCAGCCCCCGGTGCTTGGAGTCCTCCTTGAGGAGTGCACCACTAGTGAGCTTTGTCGGGCGCTAGCTAAAAGGGATGTAGTGTCTACGGAAGATTTGGATCGAAGGGTGCAGAAAGTTATAGTGTTGGAGGAGGCGCTAGCGTCAAGACGGGCCGACAGGCGCCGCCCTAGGGGAGAGGAAGGAGATGGACGAAGGCAGGCGCCCGAGTCAAGGCCTTTCTATGGAGGAGCATCGGTCCCACCGATGCGGAGGAGTGATCAGGGGCGCCCGGCGCCTAAAGTGAATCAATTCACAGAGCTTAACGACTCGCCAAAGAACGTGTTGCAATATGTGAAGGATAAGGGGTACCACGTGAGATGGCCAGGGCCTATGAGGGGGCAACCCAACCCACAGAACCTGGATCGATTTTGTGACTTCCATCGAGAGCGGGGGCACAATACAGTTGATTGCTACCAGTTGAAGACTGAATTCAAGGATTGGTGGACAGGGGCATGCTTAACGAGTTCGTCAAAAAACCGGAAGAGAGGGTGCATAGGGCATATGTGGCCCGTTCGGGGCCCAAGGAGGATCTCCCTCCGCCTTCGTTCGAGCTGGACCAGGAGAAGGCGCCTGAAAAGGTGAGGCTTACGGTGGACGCGATTACTGGCACCGGAGATTTGAGAGAGAAATTGGAAGCTAACAGGCGCCTAAGAGCAGCATCGGTTGATCGACACGAGGGGGTGTGCATTAGTTTCAACCAGGTGCCTGATGAAGCTTATGGGATACCTTCCTTAGAGGCGCTGGAAATTCAAGGAATAGTGGCGGGGTGCATGGTGAAAAGGATGCTTGTGGACACGGGGAGTTCCATGGACGTGCTGTTCAAGGATACGGTAGCGCGCATGCACTTGTCTCCTGATTTAATACGACCGTCGGACTCGATGCTCGTCGGGTTCTCAGGGGCGCCCGCGAAGGTAATAGGGCGCGTGCGCCTCCCTGTTACTTTGGGCGACGAAGAGCAGCGGGTCACCCATGCTATCGATTTTGGGATTGTGGATTGCCCCTCCCCCTACAATGCTATACTCGGCAGGCCCCTTTTGGCCTTGTTCAATGGGGTGGCGTCCACTTGTCATCAGACGTTGAAGTTTATAGCGCCGAAGGGAGTGGGCATCGCAAGAGGAAGAGGCGCCCCCATTTATACTATGCTTAAGAGCGTGCGACCGCGTAAAAGTCAAAGGATCAATGCGATTACTTCCGAAGAGGCGCCCAGAGCGGAGGCGGCCGACGAAGAATTGCTGATCCCTCTGGATGAGGAGTGACCGGAAAGGCAGATCAGGATTTCGATCCAGGCGCCTCCCGAAATGGTCGAGAAGTTGGTCGCTCTGTTGAAGGAGTTCGCGAAGTTGTTCGCGTGGAGTGCTAAAGAAATGCCCGGGGTAGCGCCTAAGACGGCTGTGCATAAGTTGGCAGTTGAGGAAGGGAGGAGGCCGGTTCAGCAGAAGAGAAGGAACCTTTCCCAAGAAAAGGAGGCCATGCTTAGGGTAGAAGTGGATAGGCTCCTAGGCGCCGGGTTTGTTGAGGAGGCAACCTATGTCACGTGGTTATCCAATGTGGTGTTTGTCCTCAAGCCAGCAGGAGACTGAAGGATGTGTGTGGATTTCACGAGTCTCAACAGGGCGTGTCCGACGGACGCATACCCGATGCCCCGCATAGACCTGCTAGTGGACGCCACAGCTTATCATGAGATGCTCAGTTTCCTCGACATGTTTTCCGGGTACCATCAGATCCCTATGGCTGAAGAGGATCGGGTGAAGACCGCCTTCATGACGCCCTTCGGGAACTTTTGCTATAGGGTCATGGCATTTGGACTGAAGAATGCGGGCGCCACATATCAACGCATGGTGAATACAGTCTTCCAACGGCAGATTGGGCGGAACGTGGAGGCATATGTAGACGATTTGATAGTCAAGAGTCGCGAGCGGGGAGATCACCTAAGTGATTTGAGGGAGACCTTTGAAACCATGCGCCTTCACAATCTACGGCTCAACCCCCTGAAATGCGTCTTCGGCGCGGAGGCAGGCAAGTTTTTAGGCTTCATGATCACCAAGAGAGGAATTGAAGCAAACCCGAAGCAAGTGGAGGCCATCATCAAACTTGCACCACCAAGGACGCCTAAGGAAGTACAAGGCCTAGCGGGGCGACTCGCAGCCCTGGGGCGCTTCATACCAAGGTCGGCCGACAAAGCGGCCCCCTTCTTCAGGATCCTAAAGAAAGCGGTTCGTTTCCAATGGGATGAAGCGTGTAGCGAGGCGTTCGAAGAGCTGAAGCGCCTACTGGCGGCGCCCACGGTCATGACGGCACCCAAGGCCGGGGAGGTCCTGTATTTATACATTGCGGTCTCAGACGTGGCGGTTAGTGCGGTACTAGTGTCTAAAGAGGCGCCTACGGGGGAAGAGAGGCCGGTGTACTATGTGAGCAAGACGATGGGCCCACACGAGAAACGGTACGCGCCTATTGAAAAGGCCGCCTTGGCAGTCGTGACCGCCGCTACCAAGTTACGCCCCTATTTCCAGGCGCATGCGATCGTTGTGCTCACCAATTTACCTCTCAAGTCTACACTGGGCTCCATGGACGTGGCTGGGCGCCTTGTTAAATGGGCCGTTCAGCTGAGCGAGTTCGACATCCGGTACGCGCCTCGACCGGCCATCAAAGCACAGGTGATTGCCGATTTTATGGCGGAGGGGATAGTGGAGACTGAAGGGGTCGACCAGGAGACGTGGCAAGTTCAAGTAGACGGGGCGACGAGCCGCGTGGGCGCCGGGGCAGGAATAGTGATTATTAGCCCAAGCGGAGTCATGCATGAGATTGCTCTACGGTTCTCAGAACTTAAGACCAACAATGCGGCTGAGTATGCAGCGGTCGTGGCAGGACTCCGCATGGCACGAGAATTGGGCGCCCAACATGTTAGTGTCAAATCCGATTCGGCCCTTGTGGTCAACCAGCTCAATGGGGCGTTCGATGTCAAAGAGGAAGCCTTAGAAGCCTATGTCCAAGCAGTCAGAAGAGAGGGCGCCTGGTTCAGGGAGCTAGACTTCGTGCACATCCCAAGAGAAGAAAACGCCCATGCTGATGCACTATCCAAGTTGGCCACGGCTTTAGACTTCGCTGAGGAAAGGAAAGTTATCCTCACGAAAGAGGTCCCACAGGAATACGTGGTAGCAACCCTGGAAGGTTCTATGGAAACTAACGGTTGGATGGCGCCCATC